ACACACACACACACACACACACACACACGCACATACATTCTCCTGTCTATTGATGGGGAGCGCCACGTATTGGAAACTGGGTCCAGCGTCCCATGAACATCGTCAATGAAGCACCAACCGGGACCCCACACGCACTCTCTTCGAGTTATATATACATGACAAAACATACATATAGCATAATCACTACCTTACCCTTCCCGAACCACATAAACAAACGAACTACGGGCTGCGCACCCGTGCCCTCACGGTAAGTCAATCATCCTTGCGCGGGGGCCATGCAAGGACCCGCCGTTCTCGATTTCCAGCCTGTCACGTCCCAAATTTTTCGCCTCGATAGTCCATGGAGCCGGGAAAGCGAGGCCTTGCCAGACCTTGGCGCCCAAATTTTCGCGTCGATAGTCCATGGACCCGGGAAAGCGAGACCCCGCCAGACCTTGGCGCTGTTTCACGTGGGCAAATTCTGGCGGAGTCGCTCAGGCGTCCTCGACGGGCTCGTCATGCGCGCCCGCAGCTGCGAAGTCCGTCATTCTCCCGCCGGAACGTTGGGTGCGTGGAAGCAACCAGCCGAGCAGCCAATCTGCTAGCTATCGGCATTACTGGTCTCGGAACCAGTCGATCGTTTCTTGCCCATAGCTAGCAGAGAGGAACGGGCAGGAAGGAAAGACTTAGTGTGAGGGCGGAAGAGTGGGAGGCGGAAGCAGGGCAGCATGAAGGCGATCGGGGACGCGATGACCAAGCACGTTGCCTGTGCAGCGCCAGGACCGAGCCTGGGATCGACATGTATGTTGCCAGAAGGAGCAGGGCGGCGCGGAAGAGGTGGGAGAGGGAGGTGGGATGGCGGTCGCACAACAAGGTGCTCCTTCGGGAGTGTGGGTGGAGATGCTGTTTCCCCCCTCGAGGTCGGCGAGGCTAGTTGCAGCCGCAACAGCGGCACGAGCAAGAAATGGCCGACGTCGTCTTCGTGTTCGACGGCCTTTTTCTCCTCCTCCTCCTCCTCCTCCTCCTCCTCCTCTCCCTTCTCGTCCTGCGGACGGACGTCACGAGAGCGCTGTCTAGGCAGGGACAGCAGCAAGTGTTCAATGGTCATCGTATGGACAACGCCAACGACGGCGAGGGGGCGGCGGCGGAGCAGTGGACACGTGTCAGCATTGCCCGGCAGGACAGCGCGGCGCGCAGCAGGGCCATTGCCTGGCACGGCGGTAGCAATGAGTGGAAGGGGACCGGAGGGAGGAAACGGCCAACAGAGATTCGCGGGATTTCCGAGCATCCAACTTCCTCCGTCGTCTGGCTCCTCGTCGGGATCGGAACCGTACTTGCCCTTCCGCCCACCCCCAGGGATGTCGTCCGGTCCGAGCGTATCTGGTACGACCGAAGATCATCTGGAGGTCCTTCGCGAGCGCCGCGCCGCGTGGCAGGAGCTTGCCCCTTACCTCTCCGCGCTCGCGCGCGCCGGCTTTACCCCTGCCACGATCGACGAGGCGACGGGGCTTACTGGGGTGGAGCAGAACAACATCATCGTTGGCGCACAGGTTTACAACTCTCTTAGAGCCGGAGGTCTGGATCCCGACGTGCTGGCGGAGTTCGAAGTGTCTGGCGCGGAGGTCCTGTACGAGCTGAGGATACTGTCGAACTCCCAGCGGAAGGCGGCGGCGGAGTACGTATCTGCGCACAAGCTGGACGCGAAGGGAGCGCGCGATTTGGCGCGTGCCATCAAGGATCACGAGCGGAAGCGCGGCGGAGATGCGCGCCGGTTCTTCAGCACCGCTCCGGGCGATTGCCTCGCGTTCTCGTATTATCGGTTGAGTAGAGAAGGCAGGAGCGAGGAGGAGCGGAAGGAGGCGGCGGAGAAGGGGTTGGAGCACGCGGTAACGGAGAGCGCGAGGCAGGCGTTGGAAGCGGTGCTGAGAGGAGAGCGCGAGGGGCGGGGGGGCGCGCTGGCCGGCATCGTTGACGCAGGCGGCGGGAATGTCGTAATGAGCAAGTTGGAATTGCACCGGCTAACTGCGGACGAAGTGTCTTGGCGGGTTGTTCCTCTGGTTGGGGATTTGGCGTCAATAGACGAGGAGGCGATCTCTATGGCGCCCAAGCCCCGGTTGGGCACCGCTTCCGGGGCTTTTTGTACGGTTCACACGGAGAAGAGCGAGAGAGAGGAGCAGTGGGCGGTAGTCCCTGGCTGGGTGGCTTTGGCCAAGGCGGCCTCTCCTGTCGCTCTTATTGTCCATGCCGAGGCAGTGAAAAACAGGCGCGTACCAGACGCCCAGTGGGCGGCAATGAGGCCGGAAATAGATTTTCCGGTGCTGCTGATAGTAGACAGAGAAGTCGATGCTGTCGTGGAGACAGAGTACTATATCCAGGGGAAGGACGGGAAGGATGAGGAGAAGGGAGTGTTATTAGTCACAGGAAGCAAGGTGCTTGAAAGTGGGCGGCGACCATGCGGGAGAGTTGTTCTGGGAATGAAACCCCCTCTCCCACAGGTAGACGATGACACCCTCGACGATTCTTGATGTCTGGAATCTCTCCCCCCTCCTTTGCGTGTCTGTGTGTGACACTCTGTGTGTGCGTGTGTGTGTGTGCGTGTGTGTTTCATTTTCATTTTCATTCCTTCTCAGTTCCCCCGTCTTCTTTGATAATCATGGCCCTCGTCGCCGTCTCTACCTACTCTACCCCACCTTGCGGACGGTAAGTTATGCGGTCCTTCTTTCGCTTGCCCATTGATTCAGGTTGAAGCTTCGTCTTTCTTTTCCTTTCCCCACTTTCTCCCCTTTTTTCTACCTCGGGTTTGTTTGGAAATTATTTGCGATTTCGGCCGACTGCTGCATTCATCGATTTGTACAGTTAGTCCAATTATCTTGTAGCTGAAAAAAAAGAGAAGATTCGTTCCGAATGAAAAAGGATCAGCTGTGTACATGCTTGTGCGTTCCCTTCGCCTCATCTCTATGTCTGTTTGTCTGCCTGTCTATTTGTCTGTCTATGTGTCTGTCTGTCTCGGCACATCTCTCTGTCTGCCTGTATACATGCCCTTTCAAGTTCTGTCTGCCCGCTGCTTTCTGTCGGCTTCTCTGTCTCTCTGTCTGCCTTCCTGCCTGCCTGTCTGTCTGCGTCTTCCTTCGAGAAGAAGTTTGCGCAGAGTCACAATAGAGGACAGCCAAGATTCGAACCTACGCCTTTCGCCGCAAGAGATAAACGTGTCTGTCTGTCTGCCTGCCTGCCTGTCTGCCACAATAGATAAACCTGTCTGCCGCAATAGATCAACCTGTCTGCGTCTTCCTTCGAGAAGAAGGTTGCGATTAGAGGCAGGATTCGAACCTACGACTTTCGCCGCAATAAACCTCTCTGTCTGTCTGTCTGCCTGTCTGAACCTGTCTGCCTGTCTGAACCTGTCTGTCTGCAGCTATAGATAAACCTGTCGGCGTCTTCCTTCTAGAAGAAGGTTGCGAAGAGTCACAATAGACGGACATATAGAGAGACAGATAGACAAGATGCATTGAGGAGAGGCAGGATTCGAACCTCTAACGTGCGACTTTCGATATTTTTCTGCATACCGCGTCAGGTTTATCTATTGCGTTTGCGAGCCGTTTATTAGTGGGGGCATCAACACCATTACCGCGGGGACGCGGGGACGTGTCTCCTCTTCTTCCTGTCCGGGTGTGTGCCTTGATTCTGCCTTTATGGTGATACAGATGTACCTTCCGCCAATGTTCCCTTGCTGCAAAGGTCCTTACGAAGATCCTATCCTAGCGCACGGACGTGTGCGATAACTGTGGCGATAAAGATGTACCTTGCACCATCTCTTCTCCTTCCTGTTCGATAAAGATGTACCTTGCACCATCTCCTCTCCTTCCTGTTCGATGACTGTCGATCCCTAACAACTTCTCCGGAAATGGGGGCGCGGATGTCACCGTATTGCCGTAGCTGGTGATCGTTCCCGTGCTGCCTTTTATGCCGGGAGAAAAGGGAGAAAGGTGAGGAGGAAAGGAAGAGGGAAGGAGGGGGGTGGGGGGGGAGGGGGGGAGGCGCTGGGGCAGAATGAAAGGAAAAAGTGGCCGTAGGTTTCGGATAGGGTTAGCCCAGAAATCAATACTCAGGGCATACTCACGCGAGGATTTTTTACGTATTTATGCCAATTTTATGGACGTGACTCCGGCCACATGCATCCATCCAGGTCTGGCCGTAATTGTAGCCAGATGCATTTTGGAAAGTGCTAGTGTGAGTATGCCCTCACTCCACTACTCACCACAGGTAGAAGAGACGAAATATATCGCGGTGTATATTGCCATGTTCTGGAGGAAGATTCATTCTCATGTTGTGTGTTAATTTTTTTGGCTTGTGTGCTCGATTCAGGTTTTTTTTTGTTTTTTTTTTTGGTTCGTTCAACGTGACTCTTGTGAGTCACGGCCCTTTTCTATTCTCGAGGGCGTCACTGCCACTGCGGTTAGTATCCACCGGCAAGTCGTAAAACACACAATTTTACAATCATCATACTCAACGCCCCCTCTCCGTTTTGGCCAAAGGCCGAAAAGTGTCCAGGGCCAGTATCGACTCGAGTGAGGGCATATACTCACACTAGTACTTTTTTACTTAGTTCTGGGCGGAATTTCGGCCAGATTGATACAGGTTCGGACGGATATGCGGTCAGATTCATTTAAGATAGTGCTCTTGTGAGTACGCCCTGAGTGACCTAGATGCGATGCCGGTTTTTGTTTTTTTTTTTTCCGGATTTTTTGAAACCGGACAAGACATAACTATGCATCTTCTTCTTCTTCTTCTTCTTGTTCTTTTTTTTTTTTTTTTTTTAACAACGGATTGTCATTAGTAAAATAAGTGAGGCCGGGAATTCTCCTCCACAAACAACCCGGAAGAAGCTAAAAACCTAGCTTAGGTGGAGGGGTTGCGGGCAATCCATCGTTTCCCAACTCCTGCACCTAACTGGAACCCTTATCCAGGTGAGGTGCAGGCGATGGGAAACGAAATCTAGAGGCAGAAGATGGCCAAAACTAGACCGCTGGCCTGATATTCCCAACCCTGGGAACTGTGCATCGTTCGGCGTGTGTACCACTTTTTGTATTTTAATTCCTGCTTTGTTCTTCAAGGAAACCGGTTTTTCTTTGTTTTGCGCTTTGAAGAAAGAAAAGGAAAAGGCCCTACGCGAAGAAAAGCAACAAAAACAAAAGAGAATAAAACCAGCATCAAATAAAATGATCAGCGTATGAGAGGCATTCTATGTGAGCATGAGCGGATCGCATTTTTGGCAACAAGTCTTGACTGCCAGGGTCAGGGCGCAGTTGCGTTACATGTTAACTGAAGGAACATTGTCCAAAAGGCAACCAGGTTCATGCTGAATTAACCACGCAAGTTGTCAAACGAGCTCCGGTCCTTATAGATGGATGTATGGGATGGGATGGGATCGGATGAGATGGGTTGAGATGGGATGAGATCGTATTGGTGGATGGATGGGATGGATGCATGGATGGATGGGATTGGATGGATGCATGCATGGATGGGTGGGTTGGATGGATGGATGCACGCATGGATGGATGGATGCACGCATGGATGGATGGATACTCGCATGGATGGATGGAGCACGCATGGATGGATGGAATGGATGGATGCATGCATGCATGGATGGGATGGATGCCTGCATGCATGGATGAGATGGATGGATGCCTGCATGCATGGATGAGATGGATGGGTGCATGCATGCATGGATGGGATGGATGGATGCATGCATGCGTGTATTGAATGCGTGGATTCATGCATGCATGCATGTATGTATGTATGTATGAATGGATGCATGTATGTATCCATGTATGTATGTATGTATGTATCATGCGTGTATGTATGTATGTATCATGCGTGTATGTATGTATGTATCATGCGTGTATGTATGTATGTATGTATGTATGTATGTATGTATCATGCGTGTATGTATGTATCATAGTCTAGAGAGAGCCAGCCAGCCAGTCAGATAGACAGACATACAAACACAGAGACAGAAATTTATGTATGTATGTATGTATGTATGTATGTATGTATGTGCATGTATGTGTGTATGTATGTATGTATGTATGTGTGGGCGTATGCATGGATGCATGCATGTACAGATACACGTATTTACGTAAGCATGCATGCATGGCAACTCTGAATATGCATGACAACTGGATGGCCTGGCCTGAATGGTCACCCGGAAGCCTGGATTATAACTACAATACAAACATATATATGATTCACAATGTGACAATATATACAGATGAGTCGGTGAAACTCTGACGAAACAGTTTGTCACAGCCCCTCGTTTGTTGTCCTCTTCTCCCTCTTTGCCTACGGTTGACCGGGCAGCTCTGTTTGACTATATATAGAAACGTATATACATGCATACACATACAGACATGCATGTATGCGTGCAAAGACTAACCCCATGCATTGGATTTTGATACATTGCGAACATAAACATGCAAATGCTAGTTGACGTGATATAGATAAGCAAGTTCATGCAGTATTTTTTATATCTGATTCGATCCGTGATTTATACAGAATTTGCACAGTCGGAATCTAGACGAGTTTGGGGCATTTTCGTCTGCCTCATCTGAAAGCCCAACCAAAAACAAAAAAGTCTCTGTGCATTGTTCTGTGCATTCCCCAACACCTGGATTGCAGGGAACCAAAAAACGAAAAATTCTGATTTCTGCCCAACCTCGTTCCATACTACGCCGGGACCCCACCCCCATGCGCAGGTCCACACCACAACCCCGACATTGCTCCTGGGGATCCCCATGTGACAACACTGACCCAGTTCAATCCGGCTGTCCAGATAGTGCTCAGATCGTCCGGTAGCCAGATCATCCTGGTCGTCAGGCGTTCTGATGTAGAATAGAACAGGACGGAAAAAAAAAGAACAAAATAGAATATAGAATAGAATAAAATAGAATAGAATAGAATAGAATAGAATCAGTCTTCTTCTTCTTTTTTTTTTTTTTTTTTTTTTTTAAGTCTTCCTGAAATGATGTTTATCTCAAGGATGGATCAGAAATGAAGAGCTTTGCACAATCGTACATTTCTCTCCATTCCTGAGAGATTTTTTTTGACCATTTAACGGCGTAGGTACTGAATCTGAATTTGAATTTGATTGTTTAGTGTACCGTTATGTCATGTCATTGTGGTGTTGATAGGGTTAACCATATTCAGGACTGTCGTAGGTCTCCAAAATTTTATTTCATTCTGGCTAAGTTAATCGATTGCAGTGAGTTTTCTATTTATTCGAATCACAAGAGACATTTAGAAGTCAGGAACCAATTAAAACTTGTTGAAACCATCCGAATAGGGCAAACACGAATGCTATAGGTCTCCTCTTCCTGCAATAGAGGTTTGTGATGTGAATACATTCGATAATGCCACGATCTTTTCACATTATGCCGGAATTACACATCCATGCAAGCTCACCAATTGGACACTCCTCGCTCCACGCATGAGATACAAAATGAACACGAGGTGTGAAAAACTAAATTCTCATTGGAAATCAGAGAATGAACAAACAAGTCGCAGTCATACACATGTTGCAGCTATGGCTGCCTTCATAGTACTCTCTCTCTCTCTCTCTCTCTCTCTCTCTCTCTCTCTCTCTCTCTCTCTCTCTCTCTCTCTCTCTCTTCGTCTCTCCCTCTCTCCCTTGATCTCCTCCCTCTCTGAATGTCTTCTCCCTCTCTCTTTCTTTCTCTAACTCGCAAGTTCTAGCTCTGGTGCCGTGCGCCGTTGAGTACCCTACTCAAGTTTCCTCAGCCAAGTCGCACTTCACGTTCGGCCGCACATGCACGCAGTAGTGCAACAGACTCGGATGGAAATTGTGTTATATAGCTTCACCGTAGCTGCTCATCTGGACTTGGCTGCAGCTCCCAATCTCGGACTTGTTGTACATACGGGTACCAATCACTGGCCTCCTGGCCACGATTGCTCGACTCTTCGGGTGTTTACCAGGAGGCCATGATTGCTCGACTCTTCAAGTAGTGACCGGGCATTCCTTGAACTGAGTTGCTGCTATTTTGGGGACTTGGACTGTTGGGGACTGGCGACTTCAAACGATCTAACGGCCTAACGGACTGGCTAATGAACGGACCCTATGGGCATTACAGCTGCGACCGTAGTACTACTGGGCCATCCGGTTGGATTATGATACATGGGACTTTGGGACTTTGGGAGTTCTGGGACTGGGACTCGGGCACATAAATGCATGAAACCCTTTCGATAATAATTATTTGCATGATGCGCACAGAGAGTCTCTCTAGCATTGGCGGCATTGCCCCCCTGCTTATGAGATGGATACGCCTGTGTAGTATTAGTGGCACCCATCTACCATGCGGCGGCATGTAGCATGGGTGACCCTATAGATGGGGGCAATACCAAGTTCAGCTTCTGTAGTTAAGGCACCGCTACCTTTCTCAGGCAATGTCGAGAAACGAAAATGTAACCTTCTGGGTTCTTTGGATGAACGATGCTATATCGGATCGGACCACAATGACCGGCGGCGCCAGTCAGAAGGAAACAATAATGTGATGCTGGCGCTTTGACAATGCTTGTCATGCCGCTCCGTTCCAGCTCGGCAAAAAGACGCTGAGAGTTAGTGGTGGGGTATAAACCCGCAGTCGCTATCCCAGCTACCATGGTCTAAAGGAGCTCCCTGGGGATCTTGCGCCTGCGCCTGTCCATTTCTTTATGAGTAGGGCAGCCGAGTGCTATAGGATAGAAGAGGTTTGGACCAACTGGTGGTTAATCAACTTTCCTCCATCCTCGGTACTGGTATGGATAGGCCCATGGGCCCAGCAAAGCCTGCTGCGC